GAGGCTGTACTCTATGGAGAAGCATGGGCCTCTCCATGAGATGTTAGGAGGAGCTACTATAGGATCTGATTTGTTTGGGAGAGGGTCAGAAAGCAGATATGATTTTATGATTGATCTCTAAATATTTTTGCTTAGGAGGTGGTAAGAATGAAGTTATTATTGGAGAAAAATATTCATTCATTAACTGGGAAGGAGGGCTATTGTTCATTTTTGTCATTTGTGCAGTATTCTTGCTTTCAGTGCTCAGACATGATTGTCTTGCTCCATCACAGACATATGACTTCATCTTATGTTGGTGCCTCTACAAAACTGTTATTATTCTACAGGAAAACATGACAGCCTAAACACAAGTGCCAGGGCAGCTCTCCAGGTGGACCTCTCTCAGCTCTTCTTTTCTTTTTGGTAGCCAAAGCATGTGACATATGGAGGTCACCTGCTAGAGCAAGGGGGTTGGGGACAGATAGTGGTGGACCATGTCCTTCCTAATGTTGTTCAGGGGAAACCACAGGACATCTCCCTGTCATACCTTTAGTCCTACCCCTCCTCTACCTGGAATATTCTCACACCTAGTCATTATACTAAATTTTCAAAGTGAAATTTTAGGGCCCCCTCCTATTGACAACCCCATGGTTGCAAGAATATCAAAATATTTCCATGCTGATTGACAAATTTCCTTTGTCCTGATCCTTGAGGCACCCAAGTCACCCCTTATGATCCTGATTCAGCCTTAAGGCCTCAAAGCTGGCATGCATTCTGGTCAGGGTGTGCTGTTCCCTTATTGGTTCTTAACTACCACCCCTGTCTCCCTTTCTTTGCTCCCACAGAAATATGTTAAACTCTCATGGCACATTTTCCCCTCATTACACATGAGTTTTGAGAATGCCTGTCTCTCTTAGGTGGCAATGACCTTGTTACATGGTATCTATTTTCTCACAGTTTAGAACATTAAGGCATAGGAAGTCTTAGTAACTGTCAGTTACATGTTGAGTCAGATTGGTTTCTTGACCTCCAGCCATTTATTATCAAGGCCCTTTGGACTGATGACTAAGTTGTAAAATTTTATTATATCTATTTATTTTCTTCCAGCATTATTTTTTGTTACATAACTATTAAATATTCATTGCAGAAAGAGAGTAGATGTGTTAGACCACTTTCTGTTGCTATAATAAAATGTTTGATGCTGGGTGGTTCATAAAGAAAAGAGATTTATTTAGCTCACAGTTTTGGAGGCATGTGACGTCTTTGAGGAAGTTCTCATGGTTCAGGGGCAACCTCTCATCTCAGCAAGGCCAACAGGAGTCCTTTTGAGAAACGGTCCAGACATTCAGGAAGAGAGGGGATTCTGAATTCTGTAAACTAGGCAACCTTGAACTTCACATGACTATTTAATGAGGAAAACCTGTGTCAGGATGCAGCCTGTACGGAAGAGAGCAAGCCACATTTAGAGCTCTTGCTTCTGTCTCTGTGTGATAATGGCTGTGATTTCTTAGATTTGTGGGTCAATTAATCTTGTTTCAGCTTAAATTTGTGAGAATCTGTCCTTTGAAATCAAAGGAATTTAATACACCTCTCTATAATTATAAAAAAAAAAACTTCATGAGTGAGATGAGACCTCAGAGTTAAGCTCAGTTTCCACCTAAACAGAAAACCTCTCTATTCCTGATGAATGTCTGACCACCTCTGTGAACTGGATGTTCGCTGCTGTGTAAGGCAGTCTATTACATTGCTGTATACTTTTGGCTACTTGAAAGTCTTTTTTTTTAATGTTGAACCTTTATCAGCCTCTTCTTAAATTATACTTACTAGTATTAATTCTATACTGGGCTCACACAGGAAATCAGTCTAGGTACTTTTTCACATGGTAACCTAAGTATATGAACATGAACTTTTCTTCTCCAGGCCCACCACTCTTAGTTTCTTAATCTCTCAAATGAGATAGATTTTAGACCCTTTACCACCCTGATGTCTTCTTTAGAGAACAGAACATTTTGGTTTTTGATTTTTTTTTTGCTTTGTTTGGTTTTATTTATTTTTATTTTATTATTCATATGTGCATACAAGGCTTGGTTCATTTCTCCCCCCTGCCCCCACCCCCTCCCTTACCACCCACTCCACCCCATCCCTCTCCCCTCACCCCCTCAATACCCAGCAGAAACTATTTTGCCCTTATTTCTAATTTTGTTGTAGAGAGAGTATAAGCAATAATAGGAAGGAACAAGGGTTTTTGCTGGTTGAGATAAGGATAGCTATACAGGGCATTGACTCACATTGATTTCCTGTGCGTGGGTGTTACCTTCTAGGTTAATTCTTTTTGATCTAACCTTTTCTCTAGTACCTGTTCCCCTTTTCCTATTGGCCTCAGTTGCTTTTAAGGTATCTGCTTTAGTTTCTCTGCATTAAGGGCAACAAATGCTAGCTAGTTTTTTAGGTGTCTTACCTATCCTCACCCCTTCCTTGTGTGCTCTCGCTTTTATCATGTGCTCATAGTCCAATCCCCTTGTTGTGTTTGCCCTTGATCTAATGTCCACATATGAGGGAGAACATATGATTTTTGGTCTTTTGGGCCAGGCTAACCTCACTCAGAATGATGTTCTCCAATTCCATCCATTTACCAGTGAATGATAACATTTCATTCTTCTTCATGGCTGCATAAAATTCCATTGTGTATAGATACCACATTTTCTTAATCCATTCATCAGTGTTGGGGCATCTTGGCTATTTCCATAACTTGGCTATTGTGAATAGTGCCGCAATAAACATGGGTGTGCAGGTGCCTCTGGAGTAACCTGTGTCACATTCTTTTGGGTATATCCCCAAGAGTGGTATTGCTGGATCAAATGGTAGATCGATGTTTAGCTTTTTAAGTAGCCTCCAAATTTTTTTCCAGAGTGGTTGTACTAGTTTACATTCCCACCAACAGTATAAGAGGGTACAGAACATTTTGGTAATGATCCCTTTTATAATGTGTTGCCTAGAATTATAATTTGTTTGATGAGTAGGAAGAGCAGTAGACTATTTATGAATTTCAAGTACTATAGGTCTACAAATATAATTACATTGTTTTTACCTAAACTGCTTCATAACTAAGACACCCTTCACTGAGCTTTAGACCTCATGATAATTTTTTTAAAGTCACAAGTACAAGATACAATACCTAGGATAATAAAATGTAACATTAATAATCAACACTTAATGAGCTATTATATGCCAGGATGATTCACAACTAGTTCATGGTAAAGTTAGGATCCAAGGTAATTCTCTAAACTGGCTTTGTTATTCATTAAGTTCTTTTATTATTATTATTGTTGTGCTAGGGATATATTGTGACATTTACAAAGTTCTTAAAGCATATCAAATATGTCATAGTTGAATTCACCTGCTCCATCCTTCTCCTTTATCCTTCCTCCCTCCATTCCTGAAAGTTTCAACAGGTCTCATTTTTCCATTTACATACATAGTACTCAGTATTTGCACCATATTCACCCTCCTACACCTTTTCTCTGCATCCTTCCCCCTCTACTGTTACCAACCTCCCAGACAGGACCTGTTCTGCCCACCTGTTCTCCAATTTTGTAAGAAAGAAAATGACATTTTTGTTTAAGATAGCTATACAGGGAGTTTCCTTATATATGTATGTATTATAACTCGAATTGGTTCATCTTCTCTATTTTTCTTCTTTCTACCTTAGTCCTCTTTTTATAGTGATTTCAACAGGTTTAAAAATTCTATATTCATTCTTGTATAGGAAGTACATCAACTGACTCACCTTTTTTCTTTTACCGTCTTTCATTTGTGATCTTAATGTGACCTGTTTTTCATAGTATTTCTTGTATTTGTATTAGGTCTATATTCCACATATGAGAGAAAACATGTGGCCTTTGGCTTTCTGAACCTGGCTAATTTCATTTAAGATGATGTTCTCCAGTTCTGCAAATGACAAAATTCCATTCTTTTTTGTGGCTGAATAAAATTCCATTGTATATAAACACCATATTTTTATAATCTATTCATCAGTAGTGGGGCATCTTGGCTGTTCCATAGCTTAGCTATTAAGTGAGTGCAATAAACATGGGTGGGCAAGTGCCTTTATTATAATCTGACTTACATTCCTTTGGATATATCCCTAGGAATGGTATTGCTGAAACATATGGTAGTTCTAATTTTAATTTTTTTGAGGAGCCTCTTCATTAAAGTCTTGATAATACAGGAGCAACACCTCCAACAGAAAACCAGCTCATTAGGTAAGGTGATCTATGACAACTGTGAATATTTTAAAGGCTGTTATGATCATTTATGGGAGGTTGCTGGGTTTTTTTATTTGTTTTACTACTGCTTTTTAAATGCAAAATTACAAACTATGAATCCTTGAATGGAGGTTTATCATGGAGAGTGAGGAAGGAATAGAAAAAGTTTAAATAGATAACTGATTTTATAAATATTAAAGAGGAAGAATTGTGAAGAACAAGAATATTACCAAGTTGGTGGGAAAACGAAATCCAGGGAGAAAATTCTGAAATATGAAGAACAGAGGGGTGTCCTTGGAGAGTCAGATGGGGAGACTTAGCTGTTTAATTTCATGGGAAGAAAGGAAGATGAGATAAGATAGGGTTTACCTTGTTTTCCAAGCCAGGACCCAGAGAGGGTGAGGAAGGTGGCCACATAGAAACACTGAGTAGAAGAGGGTACATTTCAAAGCGGTAGTCTGGTGGATCCATGAAGGGCTTTGGGATCTGGTTTATTTGCAAGGTTACCCTTCATTTGTACAAGTAGTAGGGGTTTTGTGAAATGTGTAACAAAGCCCAAACCTTAATCGTTAATAGTAACCAAAATAACCCATATTATAAATTATAAAATATTCCAGGCATTCTGGCTCCAGAGGCTATGCTCCTGCTTACCCTTTACAACCTTTCCCAGTGATATGTATAAGATAACCCACCTCATTCCTGGCTTTGTTTTTGCTAGCTTTCTAAGAGGCTAAAAGGAAAAGAGGACTCCATTAGTGCAGGAAACACACAGGAAATATTTTATTAGCTTCCAGATGGAGAAAAGAGTAGAGTAAAAATATTTCAATAGAAATCCATGACCCTCCTCAGAGAGCCCACTCTGGCATTCATGGCTCCCCAGTCTTGGTAGCGCCTGTACTCCCCAGGCCTCAGCAGGTACTGCCGCCCCCGGTAATTGGGCATCTCATAGAGGACCCAGTACCCCTCCAGCACGTGGAAGGAGTGAATGTCACTGAAGTGGAAGCGATCTTGGAGACAGGGGCAGTCCTCAGTGATCTCCACCATCTGGCCTCTGTAGTCCTCTCGCTCATAGATCCTGATCCTGTGGGAACTGGCCTGTGGATCCAACAAGCAGCACACAAGTGGATGTCAGAAAACCAGACCTTATTTAGCAATTGATCACATGCTTCCCTGGGGAATAAGCATTACTTTATCTTTCTATACTAAAGGTGACCAAATTAAAAAAGAACTGCCAATACCAAGACTACTGGATACAACTGGATAGGTTGTATGTGTACTGTGAAACTCAGGAGGGCACCATCTACCATTCCTGAACGGTGCCCCCAGAGATTTCTGGTATCACAATCTACACATTGGCCCACATTGATTAAGTGACAATTTTATGTATTTGTTTTGTTCTCTATTTTATAGACTTTCGGTGATCTGAGACTTTCTTTGAATGATATAAAAAGAATTAGATATTACAATAAAAATGTATCCTGGGCAACGCATAATTTTGAATTTCAGTTGTACTAGAAGAAGCTTAAGAGAGAAGTCACACTGCTTTCCCACATGAGGCACAGGTTGGTGGCAATTCCGGGAAAGCTCAGCTCAGACAACCCCTCCATCCCTCTCTCTGTTTCAGGCCCTGCTGCCCTCAAGTGCTGGAGACCAAGAGCATCTTAAAGACAGATTCAGTTCTCAACTGGAACATGTGCTCCAGCAAATCAGTTTCAGGTAATACCCAAACTGGAAGTTCAAGCTCAGGAAGGAGGACTGAACAGCAATCAAGAGTGTAAAGCCTTAGCACAATGGAAAGTCAGGCTGCTTGGCCTGAACAAACCCTCTCATCTGGGGTGCTGGCTCTTCTGGCCTCTGCTTGCTCCTTCCCAGCAGGTAGCTGCTGTGGCAGTGTTTTTCTTTTTCCACCATCACAACATCTGTAGGAAGGAGTCTCACAGCAGGTCAGTATGAGTGTGGCTTCATTTGGGCAACAGTGGGCTCTCAGGAACTCTTAGAACCTCACTGCAGGTTCCTTGTTTTGGGGACTTTTTTTTGCCTCCTCAAAAGGCGGCCTGGAAAGACCCTTGCTGTTCATAGTACTAGTTAGCACTTGGGGAGGGGTGGTTTGGCACGTGTCAGGTAACCTCCTTTGGCCCTCACAACAACTCTAAGCGCTGTCATTATCCACATTGCACAGGTGAAGAAAGTGAGAAACAGGTGGCTTAAGATCACCTGACAGCAGTTACCTGTTGCCCACTCATCCCCTGTGCTTCATATGCTCAGAGCTAAACCATACGCTGCTTATTCCCAGCAGAGGTGAATTTGATTCAGCAAAGTAAAATAAAATGTCCGGTTAAAAGCTTTGCACACGCACTTTTTCAGTGGGAGGAACCCTTCCACTGAAATGTTAATAGACCAGGAGAGAATGTAGTTAGAGGCAGAAAGAAGGCGGCGGTCACCGCAGCCCTTAGCCCCTGGTGTGAACATTGGTGAGACCCAGGGCCCAGAGGGGGCATGGAGGGGACTCACATAGGGGATGAGGCGGCAGGAGCGGATGGAGTCGCTGAGCCATCCACTGCTGGTAGTCGGGTAGTCCCCGCGCCGCAGGAAGTACTGGCAGCCCGAGTAGTTGGGCTGCTCATAGAGCATCCAGCAGCCGCTGTCCACGCGCACCGAGTTGCAGCGGCTGAAGTAGGGCTGCAGGTTGGCGTGGTCGCTGCTGCACTCGTAGTGGCGGCCCTGGAAGCCGCGGTCCTCGTAGAAGGTTGATCTGCAAGGCAAGGCGAGGCGAGGCGCAGGCTCAGAGGCCGGAGCCGGGCCGGCCCCCGTGGCAGGGTCCCTCCCGGTCCCAGGTCCCTGGTCCGCGGTCCGGGTCTCCGGGCCGGGCGCCCGCTGCGCTCACCTTCCCCATGGCTGATGGAGGTGGATGTGCGGTGGAGTGCGGGCCGCAGCGCGCGGTCATATAGCGGGAGGCTGCTGCGTTGGCAGGAACAGCACAAAGGGGCCCGCGGGGGCAGGAGCGCGCCTCCCTCTCTCTTTTCTATAGAATGACCATGGGGTGCGGGGTTATTGTAGGTTTTCTCTTAGACACGCCAGAGCTTTCGAACTGATGACCTGGTTAAAAACTGTCAATTGCATTAGATCTCGGGCCTTTAAATGAAGCCTATTCGAGCCTTAAATGAAGCCTATTCGAGAAGCTGGAATAGAGCAAAAAGTAACGAGTTAACCATTGTAATTAAATGGTTTGACTACTTTTCTAAAATTTCAAAATAATGTCCTTTTGAGTAACAATGCAGAGTAGTGACCAAGTCTTTTGGTCAGAAGGCTGCTGCACGAGGGGTTCAGATTAGAGAGCTTTTTTCCATGTGAAGATGGACCATGGGGATGAATTTAGCTTCTCCATAGGGATGGAGTTTTCCTTTAAGAAACTTTCCTAGACCCTGGGTGTCTAAAAGTAGAGGATCAGATAACAAATGGGAGGTGGGGCCAGGAAGATGGACCCAAGGAAGCCTGGTTTAAGCTGCATTATTGTGGGGTTTGTTCAGTGTGTTTGGGAACTGCAGAATTTCTTAGAAATACACTAGGGCCACTCAGAGTGCAAGTTGGAAGGAGACCGGAATATTACTGATCTACTCCAGCCTCGACCAGAGCATTTTTAATTTTATGTGTTTTATACAAAATCTTATTTCAAATAAGGTTTTACTACTTCTTAACAACTTCCTAAACTAAATATATGAAACCATTGTTGTTAGGCATTGCGCTTCTCACAATACTTTTCAAAATACTAATGCGTTATCTGTTAACTACAGTACATAGTGAAATTGTCACCTTTTTGCCTGTCAGTGTGCATGAGTTTCGTGGGACAGCTAGCTATTTCTCAGTGAAAAGAAAGATCATTTGTTTTGGCATATATTAAATTGTACATAGTAAGGGATTCATTGTGATGTTTCACACATGAATATAGTGTGCTTTGGTCATATTCACCCCCTCTATTATTCTTTCTTATGCCCACACCCCTTTTCTCTTTCCCATGCCCACACCCCTTTTCTCTTTCCCTTCCACCTTCCTGGTAGTCCTGCTTTTATTTCATGACTTGATTTTTGTTTTGTTTTTGTTTTGTTTTACTCTCCCTTAGCTTGACAAATGGGAGAAAACATTGCGATACTGTCTTTGTGAGTTTGCTTATTTTACTTAACATCATGATTTCCAGTTCCATCCATTTTCCAACAAATGACAATTTCATTCCTCTAAGTAAAACTCCACTGTGTGTATATGCACATTTTCTTCATCCATCTGTCAGTGAGCATGGAGGCTGATTTCATAGTCGGCTATTAGGAATGTGCTGAGATGAACATGGGTATGCTGGTATTTCTATTGAATCTGACTTTGAGTTTGGGGAGTATATACCAAGAATGTATAGAAGTTCCATTCTTAAACTTCTGAGGCATTCCATAGTGGCTGAACTAATTTACATTCTCATCAACAGTATATAAGGGTTTCTTTTTCCCACAGCCTCACCAGAATTTTGCTGTTGCTCATTTTCTTGGAAAGATAATTGTACAAAATGTAAGTATAGAAAGACAGCAGTCTAATAAGTTTCCTGGAAAATCATGGTTTGACAACATACGATAGGAGACAAGAATAAGAGGGATACCATTTGTAAGGTTCGGGACAACCAGATATTGAACCTGGTTGGGCCTATGAACCTGAGTCCAGGAAAAACTCTGAGATGTGCTAAAAAAAGACTGACAAGTTCATCTTTTCTGGTGCTGATTTTCAATTTGGGGTGCTGTATTAAAGGTTTCTAAATAGTTTTTTCTGGTATTATTTGAAGATTAGTGCAGAAAACATTGATTTATTTTTAAAAATCATTTTTTAAATAAAATTAGTAATGACACTTTTTGAAAATTTCAGCTGTACTATCAATCTCCTGGACCATAAAGCTTTGTGCTAAGCAGATTTCTTTTTAAGTAAGCCTTTCCAGGAGAGTGAACATCACTTATACGTTAGTTAGCAATTTCTTTCCCAAGCGCTGGGGGTTGAATCCAGGCTAGGCATGTGCTCTACCACTGAGTACATCCTCAGCCCTGCATACTAGTTAGGAAATCATGAGGAAAGGTTATTTTATGTGTGAATAAAAGAAGACAAATAGTATAGAGACATTGGGCACAGATGTTAGCAGAAATATGATCTTTTTTCATCCTTTTTTCCCAAAAACATGACTAAAGAACTTATGCTTTTCCTTTAAGCACTTTGGAGAAGAAAAAAAATCAGTCTTTTAGAAAAATAAGGATAGGCATAATGAAGATTGGAGCTACTGTCAAATAATGGGTGCATTACTAAGTATTTTGTTGATAAGAGATATAAAAAACTTGAATCTCCAGGGTTTTGCCAGGTTTTCTCCTAAAGCTTATAGCATATTTTCCCAAAGTGATTTGACAAACCTATTTTTTCCAGCTCAGTGTTTATTATTTGAATGTTTTGATCAATGTGGAAGCTAGCCATTCCCAATATATGATTTCTAATAATGAATTTCTTGGTTTCTATATTCCTCCCTGAAATATTTTAAGGCATCCTGAGAATGAAATATTTAAAACCAAACATTACATTTTACTGGAAGTCATGTTATACAATGAGATTCTGTAACTGAATTTGTCTCATTAAGCAGCAGCTGCAATTCCCTAACCCTGATCACAGAGAAGTACCAACATTCTCAAAGGAGACAGGTAGCCAACTAAAGCTCCATGTTTTAGCATGGAGCATTAATCATCTAAGCCAAAAGAAAAACTAGGCCCATCACAAATATCTCCTATTAGACCCTTACAATCCATTTTGTATTTAGTATTTTGTATTTAGTATTTGTATTTAGTTAAAAGAACTATTTTCTTTTAGTAAATTTGTGGCACTCATATAATATCAGAAAATAGTTTAAAGGCAATTCATTGTTAAATTAGTTTGTGACAACAGGGTGAAATATAGACTATACCAAATATGTGGACTGATGTTCAGCATTAGTCCTTCAGTTTCACTTGCTGAAATAGATGCTAAAAACAAAGTAAGATTCCAGTTCAAGGACATAAGAGGAAAAAAGAGATATATTACATCACATGGATTTTAAGAAATTCAAATTTTGAATTATATCTATAATATCTATATTTACTTTAAAAAGCTCTAAAAATGGTGAGAAGGAAATACAGTTAACATTGAAAAGTTAAGATTTTATTTTCTATTTTAAAATTACCATATTTTTTGAGACAAAGGAATTAAAATGTAAAACATTTAAGTATATGGTTTAAAATAATTCAGTAAAACCAACAAAAGAAAATTAAAAAAAAACCTCAGTGAACATGATTAGGCATTTTGTTGTTGTTGTTGTTGGAAAAACTTTAGTCCATACTTTTCTTTTCCAAGTAGTCACTAACAATTGAACTAGAAATTACAGCAAATTTCTGACTAAACTAAGTTAATCAGGGCCTATAGAGATAAAGTGCAAGCAAATAAGGCACAAGATCACAGCTTACTTTTTTGCTCTCCATTTCTTTTGCTGCTGGCACCCAAGTCTTAAGAAGTATCCTCTCTAACAAAATATAGCAAGAAAATCTAAGAATATTTTATCCTAGAGCAAATGTCTGTCAGTGTTTTTTTTCTCTGAGTCCTTTTATAAATCAGTACTAAGTTATGTAAAACTGTCTCAATAAAAGTGCTGTTTCCCATCCAAGTACAACAGTAACATGAATGTCAATGGACTCCACTCCCCCATTGAAAGACACCTTCGGCAAACTGGATTAAAAAGGAAGATCTGGCAATTCTTTGTTTACAAGAGACCCAATTTATTGACAGAAAACAAACACTTGCTTAGGTGAAAGCTGGAAGAGATTTACCAAGTTAACAGCCCCTGAAAACAGAAGGATTGGCAATACTTATTTCAGAGAAGACTTCAAACTTACATTAGTCAAATGAGACAAAGGCAGTGTCACTTCATAAGGGCAATACATCAAAAGGATTATAATAATTATCAATCTATATGCACCCAATGTCAGTGCACCCAACTTCATCAAGCATACACTAAAGGACTTAAAAGCACATATAGACTCCAACATTAGTTTAGTGGCAGACTTTAATACCCCTCTATCACCAATAAGTAGGTCACCAGACAAAAAATCAACAAAGAAATCCTAGAACTAAATGGCACCATAGATTAAAATGGACCTAAGTGATTCCACAGAGTATTTCACTCTGCAACAGTGTTAATATGCATTCTTCTCAGCAGCCCATGGAACTTCCACAAAATAGACCATATCGTAGGCACAAAGCAAGCCTCAACAATATAAGAAAATTGGAATAGCCCCCTGCATAGTATCAGACAACAATGAAATAAAACTAGAATCAACAACAAAAGCAGCAGCAGAAAATGCACAAACAATTGGAGCTGAACAACACATTTCTCAATGATCAGTGGGTCATAGTAGAAAATGAGAGGAAATAAAAAAGTTCCTGGAATTTAATGACAATAAAATCCAACCTATGAGAACCTATGAAACAGCAAAAGGCAGCCCTAAGAGGAAAGTTTATAACAATGAGTGCTATATTTAAAAATACAGAAAGTTCTCAATAAATGGACCTAATACTATATTTCAAACTCTTAGGAAAATAAGTTAAACCCAAAACAAGCAGAAGGAGAGAAATGATAAAAATAAGGCCAAAATTGATAAAATTGAGATCAAGAAAGCCAAACAAAGAATCAAAGAAACAAAAATCTGGTTCTTTTAAAAAAAACAAGATTGACAAGCCCCTGGGCAAATGTGACCTAATTGAGGAGGGAGAAGACCCAAATTAGCAAAATCAGAAATGAAAAAGGGGAGATAACAAGAAACACAGAAATCCGGGACATCATCAGGAGTACTTTGAGAGCC